CTGTCAGCAGAGTACGAGAGCTCTGGTTGGTGTTGTCCTCCCTGGCACTTTGAGCTGTTAGGGTTGTCTGCTTGTTTGTTTACGCAGCCATTCTAACAGGTGGCATCTCCTTGTGGATGGAGGTTACATTTCCCTAACGTCCAGTGATGCTTAGCGTCTGTTAATGTGGTTATTTGCCATCTCAGACAGTGTTCGCCCAAATTCGTTATTTTTTTAAGAGTTGAATTATTTTCTTATTGAGTTGTAAGTTCTTTGTATATTTTGTGTACAAGTCTTTTTACCAGATACGTGATTTTCTCCTGGTCTAGACTCATCTTTTTATTCCATTAACAGTGTCTTTTGAGAGCAGTCTCTTCATTTTGATAGTTCAAGTTATCCTTTTTAAAGTTTATTTCTTCTTTATCTCTCTGAGCCAAAGAAACAGAGATAGCATCCCAAAAAGGGCCCTTTTTCTTTTTCTTTATTCATGATACAGTGCGTGAGTTCACACATATTTAATTGTGTGTGTGTGAGAGAGAGAGAGAACGAGGGGGGCGAGAAGAGTACCCTCAGCAGGATCTCTTCACGCTGTGATACCCTCCCAGCCCCCTGGATTTTTTTTTTTTTCTTTTTTTGGAGAGGTTTTTGCTATAGGGTGCATGTGCTCGCCAGAAAGACAGAGACAGAGAGACAGAAAGCGAGAAATCCCCCCCCAGGGGGTTGGCCATGCCACAGTCCCTTTTCCTCCATTCCCCTCTCGGGATCTTGGGCACACACACACATGTGCCTGGTGTGAGTTTAAGCCACCGGGTCCGGGACTCGAACCGTAGTCAACTACATGGGAGTCCAGCCACATAGCCATTACGCCAACTGCAGTCCTCTAGCCCCCTGGATCTCGAGCACATGCCCAACATATTTCAGGCTGACTGGGCTAGAGATTCGAGCCAGCGTCGCCATGTGAGATCTGGCTTCTCTGGAGCAGTGCATTGCCACTGTGCCACGTAGTTGGCCCCCAGAATGGTCTTGATACCAACAGTCCACCCTGCCTCAGCCAGTTCCAGATCATGCTCAGACAAGGCCCCGTGTACTCAGGGAGGTCTCTCGACATCAACCCGGAACCCTCCTGCATGGGTCTGGGTTACTCTCTCAGGGTGTAGTGTTTTACCGCTGTACCACCATCTTGCCCCTTATTTATTATTTTTACATATATATTTAACAGATAATGTCACAAGTATAGGTCTATGATCCATTTTGAATTAGTTTTTATATGGTATGAAGTATGTGTTTAGATTTTTCTTTTAGCATATGGATGTCAAATTGTTTCAAAACTGTTTGTTGAAAAGACTGTGCTGGGAACCAGCAGTTAGCGTAATGGCTATGTCGCTGGACTCCCACGTAGTCGACCGCGGTTGCGTCCCGGACCTGGTGGCTTAAAACTCACACCGGGCGCGTGTGCGTGCGTGCCCAAGATCCCGAGAGGAAAATGGAGGAGAAGGGATTGCGGCGTGACCATCCCCTCTGGGGGGGTGATTTCTCGCTTTCTGTCTCTCTGTCTCTCTCTGTCTGTCTGGCGAGCGCACGTGCCCTATAGCGAAAACCTCTCCAAAAAAAAGACTGTGCTGGGAACCAGCAGTTAGCGTAATGGCTATGTCGCTGGTCTGCCACATAGTCGACCACAGTTCGCGTCCCGGACCCGGTGACTTAAAACTCACGCCGGGCGCGTGTGCGTGCGTGCCCAAGATCCCGAGAGGAGAATGGAGGAGAAGGGATTGCGGCGTGACCATCACCCCTGGGGGGTGATTTCTCGCTTTCTGTCTCTCTGTCTCTGTCTGTCTGGCGAGCACACGTGCCCTATAGCGAAAACCTCTCCAAAAAACCAAAGACTGTGCTTTCTCTATTGAATTGCCTTTGCAACTTTATTCATCTTTTTTCAGAATTGTTCAATATTGTAGTTCCTGTGTCTTTCAAAGTTAGATGCAGCTTGTTGATTTCCAAACTATCCTGCTGGGATTTTAACTAGGATTCACTGAATCTATATAAAGTTTGGGAAGAATTGATACCTTAACTGTATTGAGTCTTCCATTCACGTTTTTTAATTAAAACATTTACAGAGAGTGGATAGGACACCAATACCCTCACTAGTCAGGCCAACATGGTGGTGCCTGTTAGACTCTGTTGCCCGGCAGGGTGCGACCACATGGGAAGCCCACTAAGAAGCTGGTGCAGTGCCATCACCTGAAGTCACAGCTACTCGGGAGGCTGAGGCAGGAGGACTGGGACAGAGTGGGACTATGTCTAAAATACCACCCCCACACACACACGCAGACATGAGATACGCTGAAACTGACCCTTCAAGAATAAGCATTTAACTAATTTAATGCTCCATTTACGAATGGTTATTAGTGAAACAAGAGTCTTCAGCCTCAAGGAGAAAGATTCCCATTCTTTCTTTCAAAAGACTTTGTCTGGCTCAACCTCTGGAAGGAAGGAAGGGAGAAACGAGACAAACTTCATAAACTGGGCTGGTCATCATGGCTGCCAAGGATCCCTGATAGGCATTTTCTACCCGCAGGGCAGATCTCCAGGATGATGAGGGAACTGCTGAGGGTGAGCTGAGCCATCACACAGCTGCTCCTCCTTCGCTTCGACTCCTTCTCGCTCCACAGTGTCGGGCCAGCTGTTGCGAGTGGGTGTGTGGGAAGTAGATTTAGTTGAACCACACAGCCCAGGGGGTGCGCCTGCCTTCAGGTTTGCCGCTCAGACCGCTCAGAGAGCTCTCAGACGAAGGGGTTGAGACGTTAAATCTGAAAATGGCTTCTGCCGGTTTCCCAGAAGCCCTGCCCGGCCTGGCAGCCTGGCAAGAAGAGCTAGTAGAAAAGAGTGCCTGCTGGGGTCGGTAAAATGAGGTGTCTCAGCAGACACGAGCGGGTCAGTACACACAAAACCTTCTGTGCGTTTCCATTAATGTCA